GAGCTCAAGTTTCCGGCTCCCTCCAAAACAGGCAACTACCAATATTCTGTCATCCTCCGCTCTGATTCCTACCTGGGACTGGACCAGATCAAACCACTAAAGGTGAGAGAAAAAGCAGTGTGTGTGTTTGTGTGTGTGTGTGTGTTTGTGTGTGTCTCTGTACGTGTGATTTCATGGGAAATGCCCACCACTGCCCAGAGTAGTCTGCTGAGCCATTTCTTTAGCCAAATCAGTGTAAATTGTCCTGGATATAAAGGTTTCTTTTCCTGCCAATGTGTCAGAGACAATAGATCCACCACCCACAGAAGCTCACTGAACAATTGTGTTAATTGCTGCCAATGTGTTGGGAATAAGGGGATTTGTTACAGGCCAAACCAGAGAATGAACTGTTTGTTTGTTTTTGTTTCCTTGTTTGTTTGTCTTTTTTATTCTAGCACCTGCTAGACATTTAGCGTAGAGTGCACTTCAGGTGTGAGGAGCTAATCAGCAAATATCTTAAAATACAGCCTCTTTAATTCTGTTTTTAAAGTTAACTAAGCTTTGAACAAAGTACACAACATTTTTGTAAGACTTGAATGTTTTAGTTGTGGAAGCATGTTTTTTTTTTTTTTTTTTTTTTTAGGCAGATGTCGATTTTTAAAAAGCACCTGATGTAGACCTGGAGATTTTGAAACGGCATGTTTCTCTTTCAGTTGAGAATTTAATCGGTTATATTTGATTTAGATAAGCTAGCAACAGTACATGGTCTCTGCTGTGCTTTTGTTTTGCAGTTGAGAATTCAACTTTTATTCAGTGTGATTTACAGTGAAAAGAGAAGCCTTGCAGCCTTGTGTGTAAAACAGTTCAAAAAAGTCACTCTGACTGGCTGTGAAACGCTACATCTTTTATGCCATCTTTTATTGTTGCATAGACCTGTTGTGAGGTAAAAGTTTAAGGTCTGGTGTACCACTTATCACACAAAACACCTATTTCGTTCTATTTCATGCTGGACTATAATGTGGTGCTCGATTATTTTTGTGTTTTGTAAATTTCAGATGTGAGTTAGTGGCAATGACATGCTTCTCAGCCTGTTTGTTGTCATTTTTGAAAAGAAAATTGATATGTTTGCCTGATAAAACTTGTAATTTTCAAGCTGAAGTGAAAGTCGGACATAGCCAGTTGCTTGATTGTTAGTTAGGCAGTAGGAAGTCCACCTCTGAGGGTCGACTTTGTCTTGATAAATCCCCTTATATCAGTCTTCCACTAAGGGAGCATCTTTAAAAATCCAAAATTTAAGGATAGTCTTTCTTGCTATACAATATTCCCATTAGAAGTCTTGAAACTACACTAGTTCCACATCTTAAACTTTGTGTGTCCCTTGTGTTTTCCTAGTTGGAGGTCCACGAGGCCAAGGCCATGCTGGACAACCACCCACAGTGGGACATCCCCGACACGGAGGAGGAGGACGAGGAGCAGGAGGACAGCGACGGCATCGAGGAGAGTGAAGACGACGACGAGGACAACGACTGAACGCGGATACACATACGCGCACGCGCATACACACACGCTCAGCCTTCTCCCATGGACTGGCCACCCACGCACTCCTGACCCCACAACAGCACTCAAGATCAGTGAACGAGGAGCAGCAACGCCCTGCCCGCCACACACACACACACACACACACACACACACAAACACACACAAACACAAAAACACAAACACACACACACATCACACACACTCTGAATCATCGGGGACAATTTATACACTCAAAGCCCTCTTCCTCCTCCTCCTCCTCCTTCTCCTTGTCCATTTTACCCTTACAATGACATGGACTGTGACCCCGCCCCCTCCATCTCCCCTTTTCTACAGAGACTTGTTCCTTCACTTTCCGTTGCTGGCGGAAGAGAATTCTGTGAATACCAGGCCCGTGTGTGCGAGTGTGCGTGCATGTGAGGGTGTGTGTGGGTGAGGGGGAGTGTGTGTGTGTTTGTGTGTGTGTGTGTGTGTCTGCTGTGTGTTTGTAACCTTGTATGTGTTTGTACAGGTATGAAAGATTGACACACTGTGGACTGGAGGACCTATTATCTGGGCTCTTTTCTTGAGGGGGAGAGGGGATGTATAACAGCTAATTCCGTTTGCAAAATTAACAAAAACACATGACCTCCGTACGGAAATCATGACTTTGCTCTCGCTCCTAATTTTTAAAATCACTCAGCAACAATGTTTTCCACACCAATGATACTTTCTATTGTACACTTAAACTGCAGAAGTGTGAGCTTTATCCCCGCTCGTCTGGGATCACCTCCGAGTCAACCATTGGGACGTTTGCTCCTTTCAGTGCACAGGAGCACAGTTAAGTCTCATCAGTTTTTTTTTTTTGTTTTGTTTTTTTATCTAATTTTCCGCTGTCACACCAGCCAGTCACTTGTATGTACTTGTACTTATTGTATGTTGAAGAGGATGACTACGGATAGATACTGATCTCGAGTCAGTTCTGTTAATGATGCCTGTTCTGCCCCTGTGATCCACATCAAAGTGTATTTTTCTGAAGGAGACAACTGTTGGTTGAAAGCAGGTGGCTCTTGAAATGAAATATGACCTCAAGTTTAATGGGGGAAAATGACAAAACGTGCAGTGTTAAGATTTCTTTCTTCTTCATATACTACACAAAAGTTGTGAGTTTTCAGTCTTTTTAAGGGGCTCAGATACTAATATATATAGATATATACATAATCATGGCTTTTCAGAGAAGTGACTTCCTTTCTCTTTCTCTTTTTTTTTTCTTCTTTTTACACTTGTAGCACATTCCAGTGTATACTCATTGTCCAAAAAGGCCTTATGAATACAACTGAAATACCACAACATACACGTCTTTGGGTGCTATGCACCAGTGATTCTTGGGAGAGCAGAAAAAAACCATTTAATTTTTTGTGTTTGTAAAATGAACAGTATTTTTCCTTTGTTCCAGTTTAGAATTAGTCTCTTCATAGTAACTATAGCTCCCCAGTCGTGCTATACATATCACTGATCTTGCCATGACAAAGCCGCTAATAAGTACAGTTTTGTCTGGTGAAAGAGGGTTAGCAGTCGAGCGTGGCATGTGTCCGGCCCCGTGTTCAAGGGATTGGAGTATGAGGTCCCTGACACGTACACACACACACACACACACACACACAAAAACACACAAACAAACACGCGCGGCACTCTGAAAAGTGTCTCGAACAAAAACCTGTTGAAAGTGACTTGTAGTGTAAACATATTCTGTCCAGCACCGTTTCTTTTTAGTCATCAGAGCAGAGCAAGTTCAGTTTTACAATTACTGCCATTTCAGATGAAAGTTTCCTTCCACCAAATCTTCTGGAGTATCTTGTTTTATTTTTCGGTCTGAGGAATACAAAGCAGTTCTGGCTAAGCGAGAGAACCCCCCCCCCCCTTTCATTTAAATTTAGTTTTTTGTTTTTGTCTCAGTTAAGCTGTAGTTATAACAAATGTACCACAGGTCTTTGTCTTGTTTTCTTTCATTCTAACATTTGTTTTTACATCTGTTAGATTCATGAGTGGGGAAAAAAAGAAAATCAGAGCTTACTTGTATGGCTCTGTGGGCTCTCACTGTATGTTGACGACTTGACAGTTCATTTTTAAAAGATATAAAAAATTAAAAAAAAAAAAAATCTTTCACTAAGAATATCCACGGAACAGTTAATTGTTTCTGTTACGGTATATTCTAGTGTGTCATGTTGGTGTGGAAGAGAGGAAGGTTCGAATATCTGTGGGCACACTCTCCCAACACTACATACACACACTCACTCACACAAACAAAATGACATGCGCGCACTATACCCTCCTGTAATTGTGTTCAAAGCAGGTGTATGCTAACAGGTAATATTGTACTCTGAGTATTTATCGCTCTGCAATAGAATGTAGCATCAGTGATTTACGCTGTGTGGAAAAATAAAACTGCAGTGAGGTTAAATACGACAACATCTCTCCCATGACAGACTTGGTCCAGGCGACTGGCCAGCAGGCCGTCTCAGTTTGGACAAACTACCCAATGACTATCTGCCACTTTTGTTTACAAAGGAACTGTCATTGTAAATGGAAAAATATATTATTTGTATTTAAAATCATTTCAAATAAAAACTTTTAAATGATATGGTTTCATTTTTTCCCCTGCGTGCTGTAGGAGGTTGATTACAGACAACGTTAAATATTGTAACTTGCATGTTTCGTAACATCTAAACTGGACAGTTGTGCAGCTGATGTGCAGATATTGATACACACCAGCAAAGCTCCTAAAGCACCAACTTCAGTGCATGTCCCCTCTTTTAAAAAAAATTAGACAAAAATTAGTTAGGGAACATGCAGCACACACGTGAAGTCACATGTCAGCTGAGCTTGGTCTGGTGTTGTTACCTATAATCTTGTGACCCTGTTTCATAGAGGGTCCCTACATCAAAATCTGGTTTTAAGGTCTTAATTATTCTACTTCAATACTCACATGGTTCATATTCCTGTGGAGGTTAACAAGGTCTCAACACCAGTGCCTGCCACACTAGTTTACTATTCATTTGAACCATAAACTGTATCTGAACAGGTGTGGGGATTCCCTGTAAGTAAGTTTTTGCAAATTTAGGGTACGTTTCTCAAGATAATACCGTGATAAGGAAAATATCTTTCCAGGAAACGCTACATAATTTTGGGTTGATGGAGCCAGGAAACATAGGGGAAATTAGCATATCTGTGTTAACATTAAAGTAAAAAACGGTGGTAAATTACGCCTATATGAATAAATATGAAGCACATAATAAATGTTAATGGAAAAATAGAAAGATTAAACTGAATTCGGTTATTTTATCCGAGTTTAGCTCAAACACCCAGACCACGTTTTTCAAGGAGTTGTTTTTGTGTTATCAAAAAGGGGTTGAACCTCTTCAGTTTGAGTAGCTGCTATTTTATTTACGGTGCCATCACTCCCTCTCTGTCTACCAAAGCAGTGCAGGTAAATGAGACGCAACCTAGAAGCCAGATAGGAAAATTACCCGAACCAACACGCCCCCGCTGTTTAACGATTCACTCGCACGTTTGTTTCCCCCTAACTTGCGCCCTTGAGGACGTTACAACTCTGCCAAAAACCTCTGGACAGCGTTGGGAAGGTTGAAACTGCGGCTTCGTTTCCCGCCTGCAGTTCTCCGGACACAGCCCGCGCGCGGCACTCGCTCGCTGCTTTGCCGCATCTGCAGGGGTGGAACCCGGACTGATCCAGGCCGAGAGTCCCGGTGGTGTCACCGCTCCATGCACCGGCTCACGGTCTGAACGAAGACAGCCTGCTCGCCTGCCGTGGAGAAATGGATTCCCGCTGTTGAATCACCCCCACCGGGATAGGTAAAGATACCACAGACTCTATCACGGAAACGAACTTAAAGGCATATGAATAAAAATGAATTGTAGGTTATAAATATAATACATTCTCATACTAGTGAACCGTACAACAAGGTCAAAATAAACTCACTTCAGTCTCATACAAGTCTGTAGAATCGATGCCATAGGCTGTTTGTTAATATCACTGCATGTTCCTGTTGCAGTACTAAATATACAATCCCAGGAGCATAAAACACAAGGTCATTTTAAATTCTTTTTTTTTTTAATCTCCACGTGCACTTTGTAATATTGAGTGGGTGAATTTTTGTTGTCATGGCAATGCTTTAACTAATTATCTAGGCCAAATTCATTATTTTCTCATGACACACCAAAAAAGTTGATTGCAGTGGGCTGCTGCAGGCCATTGATAAATACTTACTTGCCTCAAGTGCATTATGCAGACAAGTACAAACTGTGTTTTTAAGATTATAACAGAGTGGGGCCTCTGCGGGAAGGTGCACCCAAGGGAGTTAGACCTCTCAGTGGATCTATTTCTAGTGTACCTATCTTTATCTATCAATGAAATACAACACTGTTCTCTTCTCTTCTCTTCTCTTCTCTTCTCTTCTCTTCTCTTCTCTTCTCTTCTCTTCTCTTCTCAACCATGGGCCTAATCTTATGCTATGAATTTGAATATACTGAAAGTTAACCGTTGGCCCTCCACCAACCGTACATAATTTGCTTGAGTGTACAGTATGCATTGAAGGTGGTGTTGTGTGTCTTTGTGTATGTTGTTGGAATAACAGATGAACACTGGTAAAGCATGCAAATAGCAAAGAGCACAACACAGGCTATCACTCTGCTTTCATATCAGCCGGAACATCTCAGTCTTTGACTTTGGGCTTGACGCCAGGCCTGTGGAGGTCAGTGGATCCAAAACAGTTACAGCAAATAAGGTTTAGTAAAAGGTTTGCACTTCTGAGAACAACTGTGTTTCCACACAAAAAAAGAGTAAAGGCTAAGGACACAGTGGGAGAAAGATTTTTTTTTCTTTTGCTCTCCATTTTATTTCCTTTTTATCAAAATATTTTACCCTGGGATCAAAAATGTTGCATGGCAGTGAGGACTAAAACCAAGGCCTGGGACCACTGTTAATATCAGAGGAAGAGTTTGTAGTCCACTGTGGACTGACATTCCACAGTTTGGTTTTAGCCTCCTTCACCCTCTAAGACAATGTTTGAGAAAGCTTTCTAATAAAGAAAAGATGCACCACCATTTCAGGGTGGCACATTATTGGTCCTTTTGCAGTGACTAACAAAGTGAAAAGACTTTCACAGCAAACACACAACTACAAAATTGTGCAGACAGAGGTCAACAGCAGGATCATTTCCTGCAGGTTTTGTGCATGAAACTGTACTTTGACCCCAAAACATGCTGTTTCCAAAGGCACACAAGGATGGATCGTTTGATTTTGTGTTTCCCAGACAGAGAAATGATTAGTTAATCAAAAACAAAATTTGTGAATCATTTAAGTCATGTTAATGAATACCAGAAATGTACTGTTTTCAGCTTCTGAAATGTGCATTTTCTTCTGGTTATTTTAATCTTCTATGATTGTAAATAGAATATATTTTGCTGTGGGAAATTGCATTGGGCATTTTTCACCCTTTTCACACATTTCACAGACCAAACTGAGCAATTAATCAACAATGAAAATAATTGTTAGTCGCATCACTAAAGCCACTAATTATCTAACTGTACACTGTGATCAGACTAGGACTTATTGGCACAAGACTCACATGCAAATACATTGCGGATACCATGGTTGAAAATGTGATCTGTTCATTTACACATTTCACATTCTGATTTAAAAGAAGCTCACAGCAGCCTGCAGACAAATGATAAGGCTATGTTTTTGATATTTAGACCTGAAAGCAACATCCAGTATTATTTATGGCCCCATCTATCAAGATTTACAATCAACCGTAACATAAGAAGAGACAAGATGTTAAACATGTAGAGAATGTGGAATGAGAAGACGACTTAAGTCACTCCCTTCAATGGAAAAACCAAAGCCATAAGACTTGCAAGCCTCTCGTGTGCTTTCTCCTTCACTACTTGTATATTCCACAGCTTATGGGAACGAACAGCAGCTGTGTGAGTGTTTGTCTATGTATGTCTGTGTGTGTCCGTGCGTGTTTGATTCTGTTAAAGAAGAAGAAGAATCTCTCCAGCAGCTACACTCCTGGCAGGGCTCCAAGCCACAAGTGTTTTGGTAAAGTGGCAAGATAAAGTAGTTTTCTGCTCCCATGGGACCCAGAGCCTTGAGATAGAAACAGAAATATTCCCCTGTGTGTGTGTGTGTGTGTGTGTGTGCGTGTGTGTGTGTGTTGGATGGGTTACACTCTGTTTCATCAAGTCTAACTTCTATCATTCCGGTTGTTTCATGGTGCTACAGATAGCTGCTGTGTGTGTGTGTGTGTGTGTGTGTGTGTGTGTGAGGAACCGTCTTCTTTCATGTTTTTCAGGATCACTGTTTTGATGTTTCAGATTTTTTGGTAAATGTGAAATATTGGAGTTGAGGGCTGATTTTTTAATCTCCAACCAGATCGAAGCTGACGGCTCAGCACTGAAAAGCTCTGTACTCCTTTCTCTTATTGCCCCACTTTTTTTCCTGTGTTCTTTTTTTATACCTCTCCTTTGACTTTTTTAAATTCATTTTCACATTTTTAAACAAATAAACAATAAACAAAAAAGCACCACAGTGAATTTAGCCTGTTTTTTGTTAATTCACTGGAAGAGAGCTCCTGAAACGTACAAATGTTTCACAACAACATACTTTTCATTTTTTCCACAGTTTACCCAAGAACCAAACCATTTGACTCATTTTTATGCCTCGATCTCTTCATTGTTTCCTTAGAGATTCATTCCATTTTAGTGAATAGCTTTCTGCGCCCATGTGCTTTTTGAGTATTTTCAAGCCATGCTAGTGGTGTGGCTGTGGGGATGTTAACATTTGTCTGTCAGTAGGTCAGTTGGTCACTTGGTCTACCACTTTTTATTCAGTGGTTTTCCATGAAAGTTTGTACAAACGTTCATGATCTAAAGAGAATGAATTCTAATTCTGTTAGGTGAGCACCCAACCTTTCCTCTAGCGCCACCATCAGGTTTTTGTTTTTTACTGATATGTTTTAGCAATTGTTGGATGGATTTTTGGGCAAATTGCCTTGAAATTTAGTACATGGTGCTCAGAGAATGAACACTAATGACTTTGGTTATTCATCAAGTTTTAATTTAGCGCCACCAACAGGTCAGACTTTTTACTCATCCAGTGAATTCTCAACATCTACTATATGGAATGGTAGATGTTCAAACATTCATGGTTCTTAGAGGATGAACCCTAATGACTTTGGTGTTTCCCTGATTTTTTCTCTTGTGTGATCATCAGGTCAAAATTCCATTTTGTCCAATACCTTGGTTTTTGACCTGCAAAACTAATGACATTCATCGGCCTAGTGCTGGGCGATATGGTCAGAAATGTATAAGAACGTATCAATTATTATTGATAATTTTTAATGACCTATTTTAATAAAGACCAGGAGAAAAGCAGTACACTAGTGCATGGGTACCCCTCCACCATGGACTGCCTGTGAGTTGTGTCTTTAGATGTCGCAGATGTTGGTCGTGACGGACTACATGTTGGGTGGAAGCAGCTCAGATGATAAAAGAAGTTTGTTGTACTCCCGCTTTTGGTCCTGATGGTTTTCCTGCACGGGGACACTCAGCGGTGTTCGGATATTGGCTTGGCGTAAAAAAAACTGCCATACTGATGAACTGAGCTGTCATTTTTGTTAACTGTTTCTTCACCTTCTTCACTGGCTGCACTCATTTTCTGACTCTGTGCTTTTGTTGTTGTTGGTGTGACCAAACAACAGACTTGTTAAGTGATTGGCTGTTTGCGTGTCACTGTGTTTATGAGCCAGGGAGGGAGCAAGCTTGGGGTTTGTTCATGCAACCATGAAACTATCTGGCTTTATATGGTTTTCTTATTGTTACTGATGAAGTGTCTGTCTCATGTACATATCGCTAACGTTTTATAGCCCAGGCCTACATCAGCCTTAGCTGTCCTTTTTCCAGCTGTTTTTTTCTTATTAGCAAACGCTCACATGATAACACAATAAACGAAGATGGTTAACACGGTAAACACTACTTATTTAGGAAATGTAGTCACTTCACTGTATGTGGTTAAAATAAATGAATTGTGTCAGAAGAGTAATGATGTTTGTGATACGATGGAACTCCTTCCTTTTTTTCTCTTACAGTATTTGCAGATAATCCACAGAGCTTTGGAATGGAGAAGTCTTTGTATGAACCATAGGTTGTTTTTAATTAATATCATTTTTGTGATGAGACAGAATGCTTCAGAGCTCGTGCTAAACCTCTAACGCTGGAACCCAAAATTTAACGTTCAAATCGGCGAAATGAGCGAGCATTGTTCTCCTTTCACCCACCTTCAGCCTGCAGGTGGTAAATAAAGCCATGGGTGATTACTGCAGGACTAACAACCACCAAACAGAAAATAAGATCTGCAGAATAGGGTAACAGTATGATAATGTGAACATTTCCATCAGCTTTAACAAGTTTCACAGCTTCCTTCTTTCTCGTCTTCATTCGCCTTTGTTCCATCCAGTATAGAGGAGACTGAAAGCTTAGTTAGTTAAAGTTAATCAGTAAATCCAGTGCCCTGGAGACCAAATTGCATTCACTTTACAGCACAATAGACACATTGTGCCCAGTACTTTTATCATTAGTAAAGCCATATTCTCCTATTAGCCTCCAGTTTATTTCTTTGACCTCTGAACACAAAGTGATATAATTACACACACCCCTCCCCCGATTTCTTCTTGTTTTTTTAATGCTCCTTCCACTCTCCCTGTCTTTTTCTGTCTTTCTCCCTATATCCCTCTGTCTGCCTGCTTTCTACCACTCCCACATTCATTTTACCATCGAAAGATCTGAAATTAATTTCTAGAAGATGTGATTAATGTTGAGAAATGGAATAATGGTGTACTTTGTTATGTGTTAAGTGTGATTTATAGAATTCAGATTCATTGAGAAAAAAAAAAAACCCTATACATACATTTGCATTTGACAGCAGGCCTACGGACCTGTGCAACATTCTTTTTATATTACATATATATGATTTGATGTACACTATAGTGTGCAGTTCCTTTGTCCTGAGTTGTATGGGTTTTTTGAATGGGTTTATGGCTAGATGGCTGAAATGAGGTCTAGTGGTTAACACAAGCTCAAGACATTTTCAAGTTTTAACCTATGAATAAAATACGTCAGTAAATACCTTAGTCTGGATTTATTTGAGCTTTTAGGTGTCTTAAAAAACGGTTGCTAACAAGTGGCTGAATTAGACTACAGAGGTTGTCGAGGATGTTAAATGTTATCCGGCTGAACACAAATATCTACTCACCAGTCCACCTTTACAGCCTGGTGTTTATACTCACACTCTTCAAACTATCACTAACTTTGTAAGGGGGAAGGCTTTTGTAGAGGAGGGATGTTGAAGTCATGCAACGGTGGTGTTGATTGTTTATAGCCTAGCATAAGTTTTTCTACTGACTGTATTTACACTTCAAAAATCATAAAAGTGATGTTTATTTGTGAAGATTATCACAGTCACAGAGCTTATTTTTTGCAGTACTCCAAAAGCCCATGTAAAAATCCCATTGGCTTTTTGTTGAGGGAACCCGGGTGGGGCTAACTTCCAAGTTGGCCTACAAAAATACGTCATTCCTGCAGCGGTCTAAAAGGTTGTTGTTGAATGTTTTCTCTCTTTTTCACCAGAGTGATGTATCTCGCCCTACGCTTGCGGGCTGCGCGGGCATGAGACTGCGACGAGGGCAGGATTTCAACACTGATTCACACCTGGAACTGGCCCCTCCTCCGCCGCCTGTTGGCTGGTTGCCCGGTGTCCTCAGTAAGGGTGTACGTCTGCGTCTGCGTCTGGATCATCACGACGACCGGGGGCGAGGCTGCTGGCAGCTGGTTGACTTGGAGACGGAGTCAGAGCCAGCTGGGCGGAGACTGAGGAGCCCCGCCCCTGACACCCACCCACAAAGTAAGAAAAGTGAATCTCTGCACTTTTGTTTGTTTTCTATTTTGTTTTAATTAAGTAAAATAAAATACATAAATTCAAGTACAGTACTTGAATGTACCACCGCTGTTTACCATCATTAGAGGGAAATACAGCTACTAAAGAAGCCTAATTTCAAATGTTTGCAGTCTATTTAAATTTGTAAATGTGTATGAGTTAATGTGTTGGTAGAAGAGGGATGTGATTTATCAAATTATCTCCTTTTTCCTGACATGAAGCTGATGAAAAGAGCCATACTCTTCACCTTCCCTTTCTTCTGGAGTGTGTTGTGTTATGAAGGGTCTCAGTGGAGATAAGGAGGGGCAGTATGTGTGTGTGTGTGTGTGTGTGTGTGTGTGTGTGTGTGTGTGTGTGTGTGTGTGTGTGTGTGTGAGTGTGCCTATTTAATACACACATTGCTGTTTATGCGTTTATTTATTCCCACCTTATCACATGACTCTGGCGCAGGATCCGATTTCACTGTCTGTTACCATGGTGACGCCCTGCCTGAGCTGTAAATAAATTCAGGGGGGCTGTTACATTGTTACATTGATTACAGAACACACGCACGCACACACACACACACACGCAGACACACACACACACACATACACACACACAAACACAAACACACATAATAGACACAATAATCTATTCTGCAGCCAGGCGAGGGCATATAGTTTCTAGTTAAAATGCAGTTATTTTATGCATGTATTTTTGTGTGTGTGTGTGTGTGTGTGTGTGTGTGTGTGTGTGTGTTACACAGTGTTTAGACTATTTGTTTACGTGAGTAGGTGTGCAGTTTAGAAAGGCATTAGCATAACTCACTTCATTGCAGTTTCCCCTCTGCATAAGTGAAAACAGATACAAATCTCCATCCCCTGAAGCTAGTGATTAAGTTATGCTAATCATTGCTGATCATGGCTGCATTACTGTGGCCATAACACCAGGCTCCAACAGCTTTCAAATGCCTCCCTCTCACATTTGGCTTCCAAAAGGAGACAATATCCCTTAGTCGGAAAATAAAATTGGGTGTAGGGGTTCACTGATTGCTTAATTGCTTAATTAGCCATAAACAAATTAGGCTGTGGTCCCAAATGTATTGTCTTAGGGTGCAGTGCAGTGGTGCAAAGCTTTCCCCTCGCCTGAAAAAAATGGTGTTGTTTCAAATTGTCAGTCGGTGTTAATGGGTGCCCCCCCCCCATATCCAATTCTTTTTAAGTAAAAGATGATTATCTGTTCTCTCTCAGTCTGTCCCTGTCTGTAACGTGATGCTCTGTAATGGGACAGGACTGATTGAGGAGGGACATCAGGATTAATCTCACTGTGTAATTACTTTTATGATTTATGGGTCCCTTCCTTCACATACACACACACAAACACACACGCACACGCACACACAGGCCTACTACCATCACGGTCACTGCAGATTAAGTGAGTCTATGTGCGCCAGCACTCACTATCATAGCATTATAGTCCTGACCTTGCTGTTTATTGTCCCTTTTTTTTATTATCATGTATAGGCTTCTAGCATTGAAACAATACAATTTGCCTGGCCTGTCACATTCAGTGTTAAGGCATCTTGTGAGCGACCGCTTTACAGCCGACTCCTGACAAATCTCTTTACACGCTGGCAGCGGCGGTGCGTGCGAGCGAGGGCACGCGGGCGTTTGATCCCCCCTTTGAAAGGTTAACCTGATTTTGATTGAGTGTTAAAACCCACAAATGCGGCTTCGAAATGGGAATCAGTACAGCAACCTGAGCGTAACTAATCAATATGTGGTGGCGAGGGGTAAAGCCCGAGTTGTACTCTACACTTGTAGCCTATGAGAGCAAATAAGCACTCAGGAGCCTCCTTTTTTCTTTTAATACGTGCACTTCAGCAGGGAAATCACTCACAACCTTGCCTTTGGCTGGTCTTCTTTTCTTTCCATGTGTGTTTTTTTCATTATAGATAAAACAAAAGCAGCATGCACGAGCTGACACAAAGACAGAGGAAGTCTATAAATATAAGGAAGGCAGTGAGCTTTGACAGAAATATGATCTTTTATCACAAACAAAAGCAGCAGAGTAATCCTGAAGGGCTTCGACTTGAACCTTTTGATGTTTACAAAAGATCTGATCTCTCTAGTGCCAGGAGAAAAGTTCAAGCATTTAAGAGTACTTAAAAGATTTAATATAATCAGATCTTGGGACAGGTTTTTTTTTGTTGTTGTTGTTGATAGGACTTATTAAGAGAACATGCATCTTGTGTTGAAATTTAAATGTCTTCATTAATGACTATGGTACAGATTAGAGTTAACCCCTAACGCTTGTAGCGCAGAACACTGCACAGCTTGAATACCTTGTCACTCGCTCTCAGCCTCTTCTTGAAGACAGACGAGAAAAACCCTGAGCTGCGGCAACTGTAATTACATTACAGTCCCACACAGCCACACACACACACACACGCGCGCGCGCTCACACACACAGACGTCGCTCTGAGCTCAGCACGTCTGCCCGGCTGCCGCGGGATGTTAGAGGCGTGTTGCTATGACGACTGAAAGGGGACACAGAGGAAGGGGGTTAGGGTAGAAGGGAAGGGGAGGAGGGGGTTGTTTCGGAGGAAGGTGGTGGAGATTGAGGAACAGAGAGAGAGAGAGAGAGAGAGAGAGAAAGAGAGAGAGAGAGACAGAGAGAGGGAGATGTGCAGAGTTGCCGGTGTCTTGAAAGTGTGTAGCAGCAGAGAACAGTAGAGGCAGACTGCTGGAGATCCATCAGGGGAATATCCAGAAACCTGCTGCTGGAGTGAAGCATCACACAGGCATTGATTACCAGACGGCTGTGTGCATGGTAGGCAAAGCTCAGAATGATAAATATGTGCTCATCTTGATGCCTTTTCTGTGTGATTCAGTCTGAGGAAGAGAAAGAGGGTGGAAGGGATCATGCATATTCACGTGGTCTGTCTGTCTGTCTCTGTTCCTGTTTGTCCTCTTTCTGCAATGACCAAGTGTTCGTCATCACAGGAAGAGGGATTTATTCTGTAACAGTTGCCAGTCTGTCTGTAATGAAGCCAGATGTGTGTGTAATTTAACTGACAGAAATAAAAGAATAATAGGTACAAGACAGCGAATGAGTACAACATCAACCTCTTCATATTCAAGGGCCATGTCAGGTGAGGGATCGTGTTGCATGAATTAAATGGTGGAGAGATGGTTTGAAAGAGGGATGTATTCTGAAAGTCAGGGCCATGTGGATGAATGGTACCAAGACAAACACTTGAAGCCACTGCTCTGTCTGTGTGTGTGTGTGTGTGTGTGTGTGTGTGTGTGTGTGTGTGTGTGTGTGTGCACACTTGATTGATTGTTTGATTGTGTGGGTGTTGTGAGTATACGTGCTTTGCTTTCACTTCCTCTGTAAGTGTGTGTGTGTGTGTGGCGTTGTCTCTCACTCTCTCTCTCTCTCTCTCTCTCTGTGCAGTAATGATATTTATTGCAATCTTTGCAGCTGGAGAGGGGGAGGGGTGTGGTAGAGTACAAAGCTTTATGTTGCTTTGTTTCTATTTCCTATAGTTTCTCTCTCTCTCTCTCTCTCTCTCTCTCTCTCTCTCTCTCTCTCTCTCTCTCTCTCTGTGTGTGGATGGGGTAGTCTCACATGTACATCTCTCACAAGTTTCCGCTCCAGTTTGGAGCCAAGGCAGTGGTGCGTGCAGTTTAAAGCTGCCACTTCCTGTTACTTTCTATTTAATAATCTTTCTGTCTCTGTCAGGTCTGATGAGTACCCTGTCTGTCAGCTCCGAAATGCAGACTCCCACTCCTGGCCCACAGTTTATAGCGGGGCCCCAGGGTAAAGTACCTGGAAGGAAGAGAGGACGGCCCCCCATCCGTAAGCTGGAGTTCCAGAGCCACTATGTAGAGCCTCTGTCGCCCCTCAAGGTGCCGAAGAAGAGAGGCAGAAAACCTGGCTTTAAGGTGGGTCAATCATTGTTGTATTTTTATTTTAATCTTTGAAATTACTACTGTTTTCCCATGAGAACCAAACAGTGTCTACACAGGCTGCGTAGTGAAAGCAGCATGAGCTTCAGTCTTTCATCTCTATCTAAACAGGATGCGTTCAGGTACAGCATTGAGTATAGGTCACCCATGTTTTGACAGAGCTCAGGGTCCAACACCCGATCAATGTAGTTACGTGTGTAAAATGGAATAGACTCAAAGCCTAAGACAAACTTGCAATTACTCGCAGTGCAATTGAAATGTAACCTGTTTCTTGGTCTGTATAGACAGCTGTATTGATATAAACAGAAATCTTTTCCATCCAAAGCGTGTGAGATGGATGACTGAAAAACTCTAGGCTATTGCCAATGCATTAAAGGTACCCTGTGTCATTTTCTTGTAAATAGTTTTATTTTCAGTTTTTCTCTCCAAACTGCATTGTGTGTTGAAAACATTTCCTTCCTCATAAAGCCTGAATCATCGTTCTGCATCATTTGTGTCCATATTTACATCGGCCAGCAGTTTTCTTTGTCTTTCCTTTCTTTTGCTGGCGCTTTAACAGGTTTGTTGGTACGCTACTTTCACCAACAGCTGATCGGTGAAATAGTGTTTAACTTTTGGCATGAATGTGTATGTTGCGTTTCGTGTGCATTTTAGAAATACATACAAAACGAGGACCTACTCTACAAAACAGTGCCCTCTAGCACAACTAGTGGTAAAACTCTGAAGGGTACCTTTGATTATTGTTAATATATAAGACAAGCATTATTTAGGACAATTACTTTTTCTGTTACTGTGCTGCTACTATTGCTAGTATTGAGACTGCTAATAGTAAAAGTGTTAGTATTGATATTATCTTTGTAAATGGTAATGGAATTGATATTGGCATTGGTATTGTGTAGATAGAGACTTGGGAGAGAGAGAGGTGTGATATGCAACCAACGTCCAGAATCGAATCAGGGACCATATTGGTATGGCAATGATATTTGATGTTTGTTGTGGTAGTACTGTCAATAGTGGAATTGGTTGTATTACCACCATTGCCATCGCATTTTTGAGACCCTCCATTTTGCTTTAAACTGTGGCCTTTCCTCTAGTTGCTGAAAGGATACATTTTAGCCTCATCTATATTTGCTAACATAGCATTCTTTAGCATACCTTTTTTTTCTCCACTAGTGGTAAAGATCTAAGAAGTTTCAGCAATCCAAAGTGTTGTTTTCTGATATATAATCGGACTTACAGCTGTACAGGAACGCCATTGTGTGTGTGTGTGTGTGTACTTATGCGTGTGTGTGTGTGTGTATGTGTGTATCTGTAGCTGAAGCCCAGGATGGTGATGTCCCCACTGGCCAACTCTCCTCCCAACAGTACACCAGAACCTGAAATGGGCTCCATCCCACAGGACGCTGCTATTGTCCCCCACTCTGCCACACCACAGGTCCTAACAGGTAACACCACAGTCATCTTAACCTTTATAACCTCTCGTAAAAATTGTCATAAATGAATGATTTTTGTATCCTATCTTACTCATCCCTGCTACCCTGCTCTGTGTCTGTGACTCTGAATTCAGCACTAAAAACACGCTTCTGTCTTTACAAGTGTCAACATGGTGTTTTTCTTCTTTGTTCTCGAAATACACCAATCACTTGTTCTGTGTGAGGAGATGTGCTTTTAGATGTAAAACACCGACTCTTATGTATGTGTGCATGTTGAATCAAAAACAGCACCAGTGTCTGCGGGTATGGTACGAATGTTTACATGCTTTAAAATGAGAAATAAATGCCTTCAAACATAACCCAAACGTATCATCTTTCATATTCTCTTTCAGTCTCACCGCTTAGCTTTCCTCTCCTGCTTTGCCTCTGGAGAAAAACATATTTTAATATTTCACAAAAAATAACACATTTCATACAGCCATCCTCTCTGTCTTGCTCTCTTTTTTTCCTTTGCTTTTTTTCCCCACAGCCTGTCCTGCTCTGAATAAGCAAATATTTAAAGATTGTCTTTAGTGTATTTGAGGTGGGAATGGGAATCTCATGTGTCAAGGACCACGGGTTTGCTCTTTGTTCTTGCAAATCATGAAAAGTGTTTGATGTCACACTGTAGACATACATAAAGCAAAGCGTGCGCGCACACACACACACACACACACACACACATACACACACACACACACACACACATATGCACACGCACTAAAACCAGTTTTTCTCGCCGTGGTGCCACCCAGACAGTTATGTAAATCATTTCTCCGGTGAAATGGAGAAGCATTTCAAAAATAGTCTCTGTATTTTAGAGATATTATTTCAGATACTCAGCTGCATAAATTCCCTTTCAAATACTTTTTTTTTTTATATCATTATTTTTTTTACATTCATTTTATTTATTATTTATTATTTGTCAAAATTTATAGTATTTGCATGGTTTAATTACAAATATTTTAGAGGTTAGGATTCAAAGATGTGAGATAACCTTAATTAATCTTAGTTGTACCATGATAGAGATTGTGTTTATATTTTAAAATTGACAATAAGGGTGTGTGTATCTTCAGTATTAAAATATTAAGCATTTACTGCAGGATATGAATTCAGCTCAGCACTCTGTGTATCTGTGTGTGTCAGTATATAAGCCTCCAAAATCACATGCACAGATCTTATCACATAATTGATTTTTCAGAAGACAATGAAATACATTTGACCTCTGTGTCGCACATTGTAGAATCGTCTCAGTGGAGTTTTTCCATTTTATAAATCTGTCACCAGGTAAATCCATAAGCACCTCCCAGCAGCTCCGGCATACCCAGCAGGCATCTACCTCACTGACAAGCTGAAAAACGGTTGGCACAAAGGGAGCAGATTCAGAGGAATTACTGATTACTGTTCAGCTGTTTCACACCCATACAGTAACAGGCTGAGAGAGCTTTAGCATAGATTACCTAAAGATTAGCTATGTATTAATTACTCAGTGTTTAAAGGACGTGAAAAATGTAACTGCTGTGTAATGTAGCACATAAATCTGCAGACACTTAGGTACAGCAGTCCTTTGAGCTAAATGCTAACATTAGCATACTAACACGGACACAAGCACAAGTTTACCTTGTTCACTGTTTAGCACTAAACACGAAGTAAAGCTGATGCTGATTGGACTGTCATTAGCTTTTCAGGTATTTGGTCATAAACCAAAGTATTGGACAAACGGAAATGTTGAGCTGATAAATGGCAAAAGTCAGGCAATTCTCCTCCAGGGCGACATGGATGACATGTGTACTTGGTTTAATAAATAGTTGTGGAGAGATTTGTTGACCAAGCTCATTACATCCTCTGAAAACCATGTACAAAATTTTGTCCCAATCAAAATTGAGATATTTCACAGGAGAGTGAAACCTTTGACCTCTTGAAAGAATGACATCACCAATACGAAAAAGACAATATTTACCACATGGGCTCGGATTTAATGATGCCACTTCCTGTCTTTCCTCCTTCAGCAGAGACACCAATGCCTGATGACTTCTTATGCGACCCACCGGTGGACTCCAAGCGCTACGCTGTAGATCCCAGCGACTCCGCCTTCAATGTCATGACATCACAGTACCCAACAAAGCACTCTTACCCATATCGTGGAAGCAGTTGCTCTACTCAAATGGCTGTATGCAGAAAAGCGTCCAGTCCAGGAAGCTTCCAGGACGGAAACAGAAATGGTGAGGCTACGCGTTGGCGTCCGATGTACTTTTGCCAACAATACAATTGGTAACAAGTGGTGTTATACAATCCAGACCACACACGCCGTTGCCGTACATACACATTAAAAGAATACACCTATTTTGTCGATCATTGCAATGTTGCTTTATACATATAATTAGCTCTCATTTCTATATTTTAAAAGTTTAATCTGCTTTGTACCAATGCTTTTAAAGGTCCCGTACAACTATAGTACACCTGCACAGGTCTTTTCACTTGTCTTATGTGACCTCCTGTTAGGACAGTGGTGGTGTGTGCCAAATGTGCTTCACTGACATCTCTCTCTCTCTCTCTAGTTATCCTGTTAATGTAGGATAACTTACACTTTATCATCCTTACGGGTATGTTGAGATAGGACTTCTGTCATAGTTCTGCCCAGGAGCAGAAGTCCAATCAGTCAGGCTGATTAAAAATCTGAGAAACCCCCAAAAAATTGCTGCACTCTTGGCTCCTCATTTTGAAGCATTTTAATACTAAAGCTGGGAGCTCTCCCTAAAATCTTGGTCTATATTGTTTAGTTTTGCTTCTATAGTAAAGGAGCCATAATATTCAACATTTGAGCATAAAATCTTCACTCTCCCTGTGCTTCATAGGTTACATGCCTATGCCAGACTCTGGAGAGTGCAAGCGTCCTGCTGGTAAGGACCCATCCAGCTGGGGTGTGGAAGAGGTGGTTTGGTTTATCAAAGATGCTGATCCCCAAGCCCTGGGACCTCACGCTGATGCCTTCAGGAAGCATGTGAGTCCAGACTGCTTTATATTGTTGATGGCCCTGGCCACTGACTGACACTGTAATACAAAATGTATTGGAACAGAGCTGCATATTTCAGGATGTAAGATTTGTAAGATTTTTACTGTTGTATGCGTGAAGCTAACCACGCAATTAGGTGAAATATGTGCTATATTGAAGATTCTATCAGTAACGTGGCTCTGTGATTTGTTTTTAGGAGATAGATGGAGACGCCCTACTCCTGCTGAAAAGTGAGATGATGATGAAGTACCTGGGACTGAAGCTGGGCCCTGCGCTCAAACTCTGTTACCACATCGACAGGCTTAAACAGAATCGGTTGTGATTTTCTGCCAAGGAGCCAAACTCCTGATCACCGTTCACTAAAACTGAACCAGTGCTAACTCTCTCAGACTTCCTCAACTATCAGCAATAGATCATGAGCGCCTTTGGATTTGGATTGTATACTGACGGCTTTTACTGCATCTGCACCAACATTTTGGCGATAAATTGGACATGTTGACTGTACATATTAAGACTATTTACAGCTGAAGCTATGATTTCATTTTCTTTTTTGTTTACTGGAGATCTGAATGGCTTTAGATTGTAAATAGTTTCGGCTCCACGCTGATGGCAGCTACTGTATACTGAAATGTGACCTGTAATAACTTAACTCTATCTGACTTTCAGCAGCATGATTTTGTGCAGATCTTAATCATGGACACTGTATCAACACCTCTGAAGACCTGCAAGGACAGGGATCTTTACAAACCTGTATGGTGCGTTACCTCAGTAGCATATTTAAACTTAAAGAAGAGGCTGCTGTCTTTTAAGATAATCTGTTTTGTTCTAAACTGGTGAGAATGTTTATGTTGGTAGCTCACATACTCTTCATTAAATTGATTTTAAAAAAATATTTTGGCTGCAAACAGCTAATGCAAACTACTGCTTTCAAAAATGTCCCCAAAAATCAAAAACAAAGCTGCACTATAACTGTGGGGGCACAGCTATCAAGCCTAAGAAATGTGTCAGCTCAGAGGTTTTCTAAGCCAGTGATCCTTAGATCCGTTCTTAAGCATCAAGCTGGGTGCATCTTAAGAGGAATTATTCTTAACATTAAGTGACAAATCCTTGTTCATTTTGTTTCGATTTATCTTTATGCTGAAAGACGTAAAACTGTATTATAAAAAAGTGATGTATCTCACCCCCAAGAAAAGTTTTTTTTTTACCAGAAACCACATCTCAGTGCTGAGTGAATAAACAGTGAAGCCATGAGGTATTCCACTAAGCAGAGGTGCTTAAGACCACACTGTGTTTATTAACATGACAAGAGGGAAAGGAAACACAGATAGAAACTTTTGGGGGAGTCTCAGCATGTTCTCATTGACTGCATATCAATCATGTTACACTCACTGGTTTTAAAATGACTATATTGAGTTGCAGGCCACTTTGCAGCCTTTGACTTATTTCAGAAGGTTGCAAAAGGGTTTTGAGCAAAAGCAACTTGTCACAAACCCATGCAACTTGATGCTCACTGAAACCATTACCGCCACTACAACCACAACACTTCATCACTCTTCTCATACACTTCATATCTCTCTCTGTGTGACTTCCACATAAGGCTACAGTTTACATTCCTCTCATACAATACCTCTTCAGTAATTTTCAATATGAATTCCTCTAAACTGTGTTTTGTTCTGCCAAATGATAAACCAATGTTTCATCTCCAAACTGTATAAGGTGACAAGTGAAATGTCTTGAGCATTAATAATAACAATTTTGAAGCCACCAATTACAGTTTTGTCATTTAAAATTGTACAAACAAAAACTTGTAAACACATTAATGATCAATCTCATGCAGTATGTGACAGATTTGTAAAATTTGTGGTTAAACACAATGTTTATTTTAACCTTCTGTACAGTACTCATTACTCACTTTGATATTTTGTGTTCTATATGTTTTGCTTTAATTTGTTAAAGTCTGTGTGCCACACACAGACTTATGTGATGTACAGCATGTATGTCTATGTATGAATTCAATCTGTATTTCATGACTGTCTTCAGCCCTTGTGAGCTATGGGCTGAATGAAACTTCCACGTTTTATTTTCAGAATAACTTAATCTGATAACTGGAATTCAGTGGTTTGCAAGAAATTAGGGAAGTGTATTGCACAAGAGCTGTTAACCCAAAATGAAACATTTTCAAATTTTCCACAAATTTTTATCACACCTGTGACCCATGTTAAATAAATTTGGACTCCCTATTGAACCTTCCTTTCTTTTTACTTTAATGTTTTTTATATATAAAGCACATTTTTCCCAGACAAAATAAACTTGTTTTTAAATGAACCCTTTTTTATCATCTGTCAATGTAAAAATATTATTATTATTATTATTATTATTATTATTAGGCTTATTATTATTAGGCTTATTATTATTAGGCTTATTTTAGTAGTTGTACAGTATCATAATACATCCATGCTCCGGACCTTTATTTCGAAGACCGCGAGATTAACGTCCCTATGGTATCGCGTGAGTACGAACGATTCACTTCCTGTATGAGTGTGGCTAAGATTTTCATGCGGCTTACACAAATGTGTGCATCTGTCAGCCAGAGGTGAACATGGCAGACGTCTCGGAGAGGACACTACAAGTCGCCGTCGTGGTTTCTTTTGCCGCCGGCTTCCTGGCGGGCTGGCAGGCCAACAGAATGAGGAGAAAGTTTCTGGACTGGAGGAAGAAACGGCTGCAAGAAAAACTGTCAGAAACACAGAAGAAGCTGGATTTGGCCTGAATGGTAAAGTGAAACTTGTCCAGCTACATTGGAAAGTGACTGTAACTTAGGCCTGTGATCCTTTGCCAGGTCTGCAGCCGCAGTAGTAGAGGTAATGGTCAGATATTGGTCAGTAAATCCTTAAGCGGAAATAAATAATAGTAAACTATCAGTCCGTGAGCTTTATTTTCTCAAGCATAGGTCAACTGCATAGAACAACTTGTTTCAGGACGACGCTGAGTGCGTTCATTTTTTTTCATCATTTCAGTTATGAACAGTGTCTAATAATTGTGTTGTCTTTTACTTGGCAGATTTGGGGCTCTTGGATTTGAATGAATCCTGAAGCTGCTGGATCCTGGTTGTGCTACATTTTGTCACTGTGGAGAGGCGACATACCTGTGTCCTGCACTACCTTCATTTTCCTTCCATGCCTTTTAAATTAAGACTGGACTTGATGTTTACTATGTTCTTTGGAAATCCAACCATTTCCTACACACAGCCGCCTCTCGTCTGCCCTCAGACACTAATGTGGAAGAACATGGGAACTTTGTCTTTGTCTGTTTTCCACCTCAGTGTGTCTCAGTCTTTATCTGTTTCATTATTTGGTCAAATAAATTATGTTTTTCATGTTTATCTTACTATGTTGTTTTTTACATTTGGAAAGCCACTATTCCACATGCAGGTTACAGCTTTCAGGATAACAGGCTCACTAATGTTTGGTCTTGTCACTATTGAATTTTCCTTCCATATCAACATCACACATTTGAGGCGGTTCAAGAGTTCAAAATGTAGGAAATCATGTAAATAATATTATTCATGTCCAGATATCCTCTACAACTTGTAGAGGTGGTAGTTCACTTACCTAAGCTTGAGGAATTGTAAAGTCCTTTGCTCTGCTTCATAATTTACAAACAAGATTTTTAATTTAGCCTTCATTACAGGTGGGTGTGAACCTGGGTCTGACTGGCTGCCAGTTTACTACTGTTGTTAGTGAATCTCAATAGATTCAGACTTTACAGGTTTTACTTTGAGTGAGGGTGCCATCTGCTGGATGAAAGTGAAAATCACAACTTAACTTGGCTTTGTCAGACGCTAGTCGCTGGTGTATTAGACATTAGACATGCAGTATATCAGGGCAGGTACCTTTTTTTTTTTTTTTTTTGTGATTTGTTTAAAATTTTAAACTACGCCATCCAAGCAAGACTAGTCAAATGAAATGTTCAAAGAGAGATTTTTAGAAAATCCCTGTAACTATGACACATCATCACTCCAATAAATGCTATATTTAACAAAGCAACATTCACTTTAAGCCCACTTACTAGCTTTTACTTGGAGCCTTCAGCTACATCTGACTGAGATGCTGCTGCTGATCATCCTGTCAAACCCCCATGTTCAACAACTGTGTCTCAGGGTCAAGGACAAACTTTCACACTCAGTGATGTGTTCTTAGAACCTAATTAATAGTTTAGGTGTTTAAAGTTGTGTATACATATTCACACAGTGGATGATTATTGTCATGATTGTTATTGACATAAAATTGTACACATACACTGCTTGTCTATAGGTGGTGCTGGTGCACTTTCATACTCTATGCACACAAAACAAGTTTTTGCCTACAGCATTCTAGTCATTGCCTAAAATTAGATCTTGTGAGCAGATCTCTCTTTTTCATCATCACCGGTCCAGCAGACCTATTACTACCTCTCAACAAGCTCCTGACAAGACCTTAAGAAGTCCCTTTTCCTGTGGCAGTCCATCGCTGGCTTGATGAGAAAGAAGATGGAGAGGGTACTGGAGAGGGATCAGGAGAAGATAAGATGACAGATAAATACGAAGAATCTGTACAAAGCTTCACCTCTTGCTATGATTTGAGCATCTCATTGTATTTCACTGTTAAGTCTACAGAGCAAAGAGCAAAACATCTACATGCTGGTGTGTCTGTCTATGCTTAAAAACAAACTACAAAAATTCTTTCTTTTTAGACAGATACAATAAAATAAAGTGGTAAAAGTAACAGGATTTTTTTTTAAAGGCAGCCTTTAAAAATGGCCTTTAATTACTTGTCCACTAAACCGCCCTAAGTTTTTAGAAATGTCTCATGAGAAATCTGTAGCAGAACTGCTTATGTATTGCACATGCACCCACACACAGAGGAGACCTATTTGATATCAATGCTTTCCTGTGTAAACTCCCCTTTTTTTTTGACATTTTCACTAACCCTGAATATTGAAAAATGTACCCTCACATATATACAACACAACAACATAACAACATAACATACATTGCAGTCATACCACTGCCTACAGGCTATATGTCCTAAGACTGATCATACATATCTTTAAAATCTTAAAAACCAATAAAGAGAGAAATGTGTCAAATATCAAAAAAGCATAGAATATATATAAATGGATCAAATGCTCAACTGATTATGGCTACAATTTTATATCTAGTCACATAAACATGGATTACATGGATTATCATTACAAAAAGTGTTTTCATTGACTTTCTCCTTAAATTCACTAGGCTACTATAGCCTAGTTTTGAGGAGAAAAAAGAGGGATGACAGACAGCTTAACAGGAATTAAAAAGTGTGAGAGAGTGTGTTGACAAATGGAGGGGGAAACGAGTGTCATGGGAGGAGAAGTGTGTAGCTGTTTGTGTTTTTTTGTATGGTATTCTAGGGAGGTTGTTATTGGTCCCTCAGTGTCTAATGCTGTGGCTAAATTGTGATGAATAGCTTGCTGGAGTGTGCTGTGTGTGCGTGTAAACGTGTAGACAGCAACTGTCTATTCCCTGTGTATTTTTTCAGCAAGCTGTGTGTGATTGTGTGCAACAGCAGCGCTGAAGTGTATATCTGAGAAGTATTTTCAAGGCAGATGAGAAGGATAGTGACTAGAGCAGATAATGTGCAAGAGTGGGAGACAGTTCACATTGACTGCTATGATTGATCTGATTTTCCTAATTGGCACGTAGAGCTCAGAGCCTATGTCCTTCGCTTGTATTGAGTGTGCTCAGTGAGTGTCATGTTTAATAAGCCTCCTGATTGGCTTACTAGTTGTGTGATTGTGCCCTCTGGCTATTGGGTGACTGCAAATGGGGGAGAGGAGAGAAGCAAGAAGAGAAAAGGCGACAAGATTTACACAGTGTAAAAGATAGAGGGTGCAGAGAAATAATGAAAGACCTCTGCTGGTAAAGAAAGAACAAGGCTGTACATTGGCACAACACTACTTTGAGCTAATTGCTAACATTAACATGCTCGCAGTGACGATGCTAACATGCTGATGTTGAGCAGGTACACTGTAACATTTACTGTATTCACCATCTTAAATTTGTGTTAGCATGCTAATTTATCCTAATTAGCGTTAAATACAAAGTAGCCTACAGCTGAGGTTGATGAGAACAATTGATGGTCAACTTAAAAGTGTGACCAGATGAGGCTGCTAGATAAAAAGTTAAGGGATCACAAAGTTAGTCATCACAATTAATCACCACAGTTCATCCTTAGGGGAACATGAATGTGTTTATCAAATGTCATGGAAAGTGAAGGCACTAATTGGAATTCAACCATTATAAATTTCATTATTTACAGCTGTGTTTTTCCTACTATAATATGTTAAAATGTCCTCAGTGAAAAACTAAATGAACACACAGTTGAGTCCATGAAACATTCAGCTAAAAACAGTGCAGAATAATCTTTTCTATCAGTCGACATGCACCTACACTGAAAACAGGGTTCATTTATGTGTAATAGGGCAGAAAAACATGCCTCTTCCTGATGCTTTTATCATTCTAGTATAAATATTGTATGAGTATACACAAATGTGGATACACACACACACATTGAGACACACACATAAGTACACACACACCTGAGCTTATTGGCCTAAGCTTCAATCCAATACAATGGAATATACCTCACAGACGACTGAGTGTTTGTTTATAGATGACTACGAAACATGTCTCAGATAAGTATTGAGACTGCGGAGTAATATGCTGAAAAGATTCCCATTTAAATAATGATGTGATTATGGCTCGCTTTATTTGATCGTGGCTTCTTTTGTGACATCCTTTCCACAAGTCTTTTATGTAAAGAGTGAGAGCAGCAACACCTCCATTCTGTTTGAAAGTAGAAAAATGACTATATGCAGACAGATTTCAACAACATATCAGTCTTACAATGACTCAAAGAAGTTTCCTTACCATAGTAATCAATCTCTTATGTAATTATTCAAACTAGTCCACAAGCAGAACAGAGTTTTTTCTTTTGTTTCACATTTGTTAAATGTTTCATTACAACTTTAAAATATGGCTCTCTATATAGAGGCTTGACAAACTGGAACTAATAATCATAGATAAATGGTTTAATAATTAATTGCATTACATTCATTTGTCAGGAATTTTTGTCCGAAGAGACTTACATTTTCCCCATACTGGTACAGCTTTTCTCTTTGACCTAAAATCTCAAATGAAAAGTTTTTGGCCAGTGCAGGCCAGTGCAACG